TATTTCTCTTTATCAAGCTGTTTCAATTGTCTTTGATCAAGTCCCATTTCTTACTTCCTCTGTCAAAACCTCTATTTCTGTTCTGTGCGAAGGACATAGCTAGCCGCCTCACTCTATAGTTGTAGCTATAGTTGTCGCTCTCCTAGTGACAATACATCATTTAATTGTCACTACTAAATCAATCGATTAATACGAACTGCCAGTATTTCTCAACACTATTGCATCAAGAAATCCCATAGTAACTTGAACAACAGTGTAATATCGCACTGATACGACATATGTATAACATATATGGACTGAATTGTATTTGTCGCCCTGTAGCTGGCAGGTGTCCTTTTAATGTGTTTCCAAACTGTTAAGCAATAAAGGATTGCTTTGTTAATTATTTGTGAATCAAAAACTCAATTTGAAATGAAAAAATAAATAAATAAGTAAACAAATAAATAAAACTGTTTCGTTTGATTGAGTGCAGAGTCCTTCACTTGAGTGTATCACATTTCGACAGTGAATCGAAAGATGCTTTAAAATTGCCAGTTTTTTTTTTTTTATTTTATATTTTCTGCATTCATTCATTTTTCATTCGATTTCCCATCTTGATTGTTACATTGTTGCATTTATTTGCAAGCGATTCGCAGCACTTCATATAACGTGTTGAGCACCTGGCAGAAAACATATTGTGAGTCGATCGGAGCTCAATAAGCAGATCAGGTTCCGCAAAAGAGGTCGATTTTGGGTTTAGATAAGGCACTCAGTGTGTTGTCGTTGTAGTTATTCTGGATGTTTGCAGGGTAAGCCTGAATTTCGATTCGATTACTTATTGTAATTAAATGTGTAGAGTATTTTAACGGCCTGAGTTGTATTTAACTTTATTTTAATTTCATATTTTTTTTTTATTGCGTTTGCCTGAGTGGTGGGCGGTGGGTGGTGGGCGGTAGCGTAGTTTGTTTTATGTTTCGCTTAAATAAATTCCAGCAAAATGTGCGTAATTAATGCGCCAAACCAAGCCAAAAGCGCGCTATATAAATCATTTGCGGCGTGCCATAGTATGTGTGCATGTATATTGTATGAAAGTTGAGTGTGTGTGAGTGTGCCAGTATCTGTGAACATTTGCGGTCAGCCTCATGTTGCACGCACAATCAGTCGCCTTTCGTTGCTTATCGACTGGCGCCATTGATTGCAGTTCATTAAGCACGCGCAGGCGGACAAGCTCACGCACATTCCTGGCCCACGGCAAACTGCTGCTGCTGCTGCTGTCGGTGGCTACACCTGCTGCTGGGGCTGGCACTCATTAGCTACGCATTGGCCGGCCCACAGCTGGCAATGGACTAACGTGGTGCTTGACCCTTTTGGGACGCCTTTAACGGATGTTGCGCTTTAACCTTTCTCGTTGCGCATACATTTCTTCTTAATTTCGCTTTCACTGTATTTTCTTTGGGGCCTTGCTCGACAGCGCTCGACAGCGCTCGTTAGCGCCTGCCTGGCTGTGGCGCTGGCCATTACAGTTGATTGCTTATTCATGCGTTCATTCATTTATTCATATGCCTGTAAGTTGGAGATGAGCGAGCCTTATCAAATTGCGGCTGCTCGTTGTCAGCTTTGGCGATTAAGTTCACGCTGCGTATACGGAATACGCTGGCTTTGCTTGAAATTCCGAGTGCTGATGCTGTTGCGAAAATTAATTGCGACTGCGTTGTTTCGTGTTTATATTTTAAATTAATTATAAATATTTATTTATCTTGATTAGTTGGGTGCCTTGTGTAAGCCAGAACAGGGGCCGGGGCAGCTCCTAGTGGGGCTGGGGTCTTGAGTGTCTGAGTGTCTAGCTGAGCTTAACTAAATTGATTTCAGTTTATTTTAGCATAGCGCAGCGTTTTCGCCTGGGGCTTGCCTGGCAAATCAATAACAAAGACTTGGCTTTAAACGTCGCTGCGCTGCCACTGGCAACAGGACCTCAATTGGTTTTGGCTTGGCCATTACTCTTCGCCGCTGTGGTTGTACAACGCCAACCGAATTCGATTCATTCTACTTGTTCTCTCTGGTTTTTTGCGTTCTTCTATAATTGATTGCAGCATCAATTTCAAAACGAAATAATCAAGCAGTGCACACACACACACACGCATACACAGTCGCCCACCGACCACATACATGTTGCTTGATTTGCTCTGTTTCTCGCTTTTTGTTGCATACTTTCGTGCGCTAGAGTTAATTTCTGTTTTAAGTTGGAGCAGCAACGGCAACGGCAACGGCAACTGCAACAGCAGCAAAAAGCCAACTGCAGCTGCAAAATCAAGGGAAATTATTGAAAGCACCAAAGCAAACGGTGAAAAACACACAGACACATATGCACACATGCACACGCGCACACACACAAAAATGAAAAACACACGTCAATTTGTATTACTGCTGTCTCAGCTGTGCTTCCATCTCGTTCTCTATCCATGTTCCTCTACCTTGCTCACTGTCTCTCGCGCTCTCTCTCTCTCTCTCTCCCTCTCTCTCTCTCTCTCTTTCTCTCTCTGTCTCTCATTCTGTTCACTAGGATCTGAGTTTTGCTGCTGCTCGTTTTATATTCTCCTATTTCTTGGCACTATTTTCAAACGTTTTTCCTTTCACATTATCCATTTACCCATACTTTACTTCTATGAATAGCGCGAGGTGTAGCGTCTTTTTGTTACACGTTTCCTGATGCTCTTTCAAGCTGAGCTGAGCTGACTGAGAAAGTAAATACCTCGGATAAGAAGACTATTTTTTGTGATTTTTCTCTACTTAAAGATTATACGAATTTTTCGAAACAATATCATATGTTTTCAAGATAAATTGATGCATAACTTCATTTAAAGTTCGCAACATATAATATGTCTAGGTCAACACTTCTATTTTCTTTATAAGAGTAGTACAAAAAGAAAAGAAATTCAAATTAAAAATGAAAAGTGCTAGAAAACCATATAATTTCATAATTTATAAATACGGCTATGTTTAGCGGAAATATATATTATAAAAAAATAAATATTGGTTGTCTTAATTTTAATCTTTAATATCAATTGAATTTAAATTTAATTTTACTTTAATTTAAATTTATTTTTCATTTAATTTAAACATAATTTTAGTTAACTATTTATTTCATTTTAGTTTAATTTGATTTTTTATTAAAGTAAATTTAAGTTTAATTTTAGTCTAATTTTTTTGCAGTTTTATATTATTTAAATTTAATCTACAAATTTATTTATTAAATTGTTTTTTTTTTTTTTTTTTTTCTTAATAATGTTAACTTCTAAAATTCTCATTTAATTTCCTCAAATTTTAAATTCTTCTTTATTTCATCTACTTTGAAAGATGTTGGTTTCGTATAGATTATAGGGTATTCATGTATTGAGCTATTCCAGTCTGCTTTTTACTTATGTATCTGTTGTGGTGTTTTAGATCTGCCCTCAAAAGCCACGGACAGAAGCGTTTTGGGGCCGTCAGTTGTGAGCGCGTTCGCTGCATTTATTTGGAGCCGGACTCTCATGTCTCGTCCTGTTTGTATTTTTTTTTTTATTTTTTTTATTTTATTTTATTTTTTTTTGCCACACAAAAATCTGCACAAAAATGCACGGAAATTCATCTTGATTTGTGTTGCGATTTTTTTTTTTTTTTGGTTTGAAATAATGCAGCAACGGTTTTTTAAGCTTGTCGTTTTTCTTAGTATATGTATGTATTTTTTATTTTTATTTCCCACCCAGATGCCAGGTTGTGTGTGGCGCACTAAATCAGAGACATTTAAGCGCATTTTGCTAAAAGTCACTTACGGCCTTTGGCCATAGCTCATTTGTTGGTTTTTGGCCGCTTCTAGTTGAACTTACCACATAGGATGCAGAGGAGCAGCAGCCAGTGCAGGATGCTGGTGGCCAAGTTGCTGTTGCTGTTGCTGTGTGGCTGGAGGCAGCGACACCTACGCTCGCATTTTACTTCTCCAGTTGCTGTTGTTGTCATCGTCATCGTCATCGTCATCATCGTTGCTGTTGCTGTTGCTGTTGTCGTTGACGTCGCGATGTCTGCTAATGTTGATGGCAGCACGCTGGCCGCATTGGTAGAGGTGGTGCTAGTGGTGCTGGCGGTGCTGCTCGGTCTGTGACTTTGCATTTCCGTGTTGCTGCCGCTAATGCTGGGGCGTTGTTTTGACCTGATGCGACGCGCGAACTGACACTTACACCCCGACGCGTGTGCGAGTGCCGTGGGGAGCGCTGTGAGTGATGCGGATAGCGTTGATAGCGTCTGCCACATTGTCAGCGAGTCCCGTTTTTTGCACACTTTGCGAGCGTTTGTCACCGGCCGAGCTCCCCACTTGCCGCCTGACATTAATTAAGTGTGAAATTAATGGAGCGGCAGAGATGTGCAGTGGGTAACGGGTAACGGGCAGCGGGTAACGGGTCGCGGGTTGCTGACGAGCGAGTTAATTAATTTGGCACCCTGTTCGCCAGATTTGGCTTAATTTGGCGCTTTGCTATAGCTTATGCTGATGGGAGTCTGCTCTGGCCTAGCATGCATTGGGCAGCACTATTATAAATGATTAGCTACACATGTACTTTTGGCTAACTTCATTTATTAGGTCTGAGACTTGGCTCTGGGCTGCTTATTTCATTTTTCAACTGCCAAGCTTGTTTGTTCTGTTATTATCATTAATTATGTGGTTTTGTTTATCATTTGTAAATATATGAAAACTATTAAATTTTAATATTATATAGAGTTTATTTATATTTTATATTTTTATTGGGATGTGTCCTCAACTCGATAATATACTGATTTATTGTTTATTATATTTATATATATTATTTATTATTTTCTTAGCTTTTTTTATTTTCTTCAACTTTTTAATATTTAGAATTAATGTTTATTATTTATTATATTTATATTATTTATTTATTTATTATTTTGCATTTTTTTTCCTTTGTGTTAAATAAGTTTCTTGAACTCGTTAATATTTTGAATTGTTGTTTACGTACAATCAGCTTCGATGCTTCTTTACTTTGCTTTGTCTGTTTTCAATACGTCATTCTGCTTAGTCGCTGCCGCAGCGAAGTCACAACGAATGCGTCACACAGCCGATAGAGGAAGACGCGCAGCCGACAGAGATACGAATGCGACTAAACGCGCACGAAGTGATTGCGTGAATGTTGTTGTTGCCATCGCTGCTTAGCAGCAATTGGTAAATGTTGCCATCGCATTGGCACCGCTTGGCAACATGTTGCTAAGCTCTAGAGTTTTATGTTGCTGGTGTGTGCCCTCTGCTGCTCGTTAGATTTTGTTATGTTTCGGCTTCTCTTCCGCGAAAATATTTGTTAGTTGACATTTATAGGCGACTTTAGTGTTGCGTCTAATTGCTTCATGTGGCAGACGCACTTGTCCACACACACACAGGCGCACTTCGTACAAAGTTTTCTAATGGTCCGCACTGCAATTAGCTGGAAAGAGATAGACAAATAATGTTTCAATTAGTTGTTGACAAAGCAGCGCAGTGCAGAATATGTATATATTAATTTTATTGCATGCCGTTAAACGCAGCCAAGTTCTAAATAAATAATTTATGGCCGGGCAAGTGGAGACCCCGCCCCATAAACAGTCCCGCAAAACAATTGCATTTCAGCAGCGATCACGTGCCACCATTTCCTGTTTGATTTATGGTACTCCATGGGCCACTCCGATAAGCATTTGAGCTGACCTTAGCGGGTCCACGCATTCCATTCAAACGCCGAAATTTGTATATGCGTATATTCTATATGGCGACATGCTCTATTCTCTATTCTGCTGGCTAATTGACCAGCAATCACACACTCTTGGCTTGAGCCCAATAGCAAAGCCTTTAATTGATGCTGCCAATGGATTTTGGAATTTGTCGGTTTCATTATTTATTGCATCCCGCGGCTGCTTAATTATGCGCTGCAGTTCCGGAAATGCACATTTTGAAATCCTTTAATCTCCGCATCTTCCTCATCTGCCCGCCGGCCTCGCAGCATCACAAATTATTGTTGTCTTTATCCCCTGTATTCCCCCACCCGCCGATGCTAATAGCCCCACGGCCCGTTGTACTCCATTTGGTATTCTAATGGGCGCTTAATGCAGCGCAAAGGCGTGGCTGTGCGCCCATAATAGCAATTTAGATGGGCGCACAAGTTGGATAGACAATAGCTCAACATTGGGATAACTGTTAATCATGTGGAGAAAGGGTAAAGCGATTGCATATCGTAAGTGTGTGCATTTCGCTGCAGAATGCATCAATGGAGCCTAAAGCGCGTTTTCATCAATTTCCAATAGAGACTTGATGTTTCGACTATGTATATAGGGCACTGCATGGCTATAGGTATTATGTGGCTTTGTCTGTTGTAAGTGTGTTTTTTATTTATTTACTTCTAATTTATCAACATTGATCTTGCTTTGGAGGGTCGCTGTGTCATAATATTTATTTTTATAATTTTAAGTAAAACTAATTGCTTTTAGGGTTAAGCTGAAGAAATGAATTGAAACAAGAATTGTTTTGCCCTTTGTATAAACTACTACTATTATTCATCAATTTTCCTCTTTATTCTCTAATCAAATTAAAATTTTAAACGTATAGATTTTAATGCTACATGTAATACTAACTGATTAATTGGGATGCTTTAAATACATATTTCAAAATTGAAAGACCTTTTGAGATTTAAGATTTAATATTTGAAATGTAAATCATCATATAATTATAAATCATATAATACATTTATAACGCTTTTTGATTGGTTTAATATTTTTCTTTTACAAATTTTAATAATTCTATAAAATATTTATAGAATTTCTTGTCATTTCAAATTAGTTGAATATTACAAATAATAATATCATTAAATTCGATATTTATTTCAACTAAATATAAGAAGAATATTATGATTTATTATAATATTTATTTCAACTAAATACAAGAAGAATATTATAATTTATTATAATATTTATTTCAACTAAATACCACAATAATATTATGAGTTTCGTATTTATTGATTTCAAATGATCTGAGTATTATACACAAAAAGTTTTATTTATGTATTTTTTTAAATTTATATTAAGTTATATAATATATTATTCCATTCAATATATATTTATTTTTGCTTTCAGCTGAGATTTCAAATACCCTGAGTATTAAAAATAAAATAAAAAAATATATTATGAAATATAATTATTATTACATTTATATTGAATTATTTTATAATTATCAATATAAATTTGATTTAAATAAAATATAAAAATATTATTAAATTTATATAATTTAAAATTTTATAGTGAATTATATTATATATTAATAAATTCAATATAAATATAATTTAAATATAAAATATAAAAAATTAATTTCGCATTCAGTAAGTAGTTCAATGCCTAGAGCACTAAATAGTAATAATATTATTATAAAATAGTAATATTAAATATGAATTGAATTTAATATATAATTTTAATCAATATTATGAGTTTAATATTCAGCGATCAGAAATAGTCTACAAACTACTTCCAATTAACAATCTTCTCTTCTAGTTAGAGCATCGCTTAGTTGTGGGTTCTGTGACTGGCTTATTGGCATAGTTATTGCAGCAACTTCCGCATTGCCGAAGCAGCAGAATTTCGCATTATGGCTCTTGATGCGGCTGACGGCGAGTTTAGCTCCGCGCTTTGCAGCAGCTGAGTCAGAAATCACTTCCGGCAACGGCCATCAAAGGGCAGAGGACAGAGAGTGGGGGCAGTGGCAGGGGGCGGGGGTCGTGCATCGTGAATCGGCTGCTGCACTTCACACATCTCATCGTAGGCTCAACATTTATTATGCCATTTGTGTGGGACCAAATTGTCACAATTACTCGACAATGCATCGGCTCGCCCAAAAGAGCAACAGTCAGAGATAGAGACAGAGAGGGGGAGAGTGAGAGAGAGTGAGTGCTTCACATCTATATTTAGTCAAAGGCTGCCTCTGTTCTCGCTGATGTTCCATTGTCATTGGCAGGCCTTCGGTGCAGCTTCATTTATCACATTTTGTCATGCGGTGTGCTCCACCCTCGAACTTTGTTTCAATCTTTTGTGTGTTTGTTGCATTTTATTAATTTGTTTGTCATATTTTTACGTTTGTTTATTGATTAAAATGTGCACACAGACGTATCTGCAGGGGGAAAGTGCACAGCTTCGGTTCGCTCGCATTGTCTGTTTCCAGCAGCTGTTGCTCTTGTTATTGTTGTTGTTGTTGTTGCTGCTCTCGTTGTTGTTGTTGTGCGGTCACATCGCATTGCTACTGTAAACATGTGTTTGCAGCAACATTATTATTGCTTTCCCTCGCAAACATTATTTTTACTGTCTGTGCGAGGGACCCACACACACACACACACACAGACACACACACACGTACATATTTCTATATTATATTGATACTGTGTTTGTCTGCTATTATTATTAAAACATCGTTTTTAAAACTCCCCCTACGCCCGTCCTCCTCCATTAAATCTGATTTATCTCTACCTTTGTACTATATAAACAAGCGGTCAACCCCTGCCGATCTACCTTTCCAGCGTGTTTGAACAAATTATTATGAAAGAGAATTTTGGCAGGCGCATTTTTCAGACAATTTTGTTCGTCCTGTTTTTATTATTATTAATATTTTTTGTTTTTGTTTGTTGTGCTCTGGGCGTTCGTTTGTTGGGCTTTATGGATTTTATAATTAATTGTCTTTGACATATTTTACACTGTTGATATTTGTATTTTTTTGTTGTGGTCAAAGGCGAGCTTGTTTCATAGCTTGATTGATTTTCTTAATATTTTGCCATCAATCATTATTGTTTGGCGAGAATTCAGGTTAATGGAATTGTTATACATTCATGAGAAATGGATTCGTAATCATTTGATATAACTGTGCAGTATATCAGAAATCTGGCTATATCAATTAAAATTATATATACTTTTATTTATAGAAAGCCAAGTTTATTTTTGCAAGATTTTTTTACATTGATTGATATTGAATTGAAATATGTTTTTTAGTCGGTTGAAGGAGTGATAAAGAGTTAAACAGTTTCCGACAAATATTTAAGATAGAAAAGGAATCTGCAATAGTAACAGTAAGAGAGGGAGAGAGAGAGAGAGAGAAACATTGTGAAACAGAATATATTACTTTTTAGATTCTTCAGAGCTTGGCAAGGCAGCACTATAACGGTGAATGCTGATATCTGTAGAGATTGCGAGGGTGCATATGGATTTCATTGTTTATGGCCTGCAATGGGCCGTGTTATTTGGCCAAGTTTATTTGTTTCCGCAATCGTCCCTTGGGTATGTTTGCGTTAGTGAGCTTAATGGGCTGCTCCCATACATAGTTTATTCATTCTCCCGGCCGTCGTCCACATAACACATCACACATACACATATATATGTATATATATATATATATATATACGCTCATTGTCATTCATTTCGTGTCATTGTCAGTGATAACATTTGTATTGTAATTGGCATCACAGCCAGGGCCAGAGCTCGACTCCTGAACGATGCCGGCAACATTTTTGGCAGGGAACAAATGGCTCTTATGTGGCCGCAATGCCACAAACAATAAAAAGCAGGCCAAGTCAAGGCAGCCAAAACAAATGGCAATTAGTTGAGTCGGCGCGGCGCGGCACGGCACGGCTCGGCTCGGGTCGAGTTGCCTTCAATTGTGTCTGACTTCTGCGAGGAAGCAAGGCAGAAGTGAAAGCTGCTTAGAGCTTTGTTCGTTGCTTTTAATTAAAAGCAGATTAACATTGCGCGTGTAATGTATTTGAGCCCCGGCTCGAAAGCCAGGTCCATAAACAAATTATTACCGAGCTCTGTCATGGAGACATTGACAGTGACAGTCGCTGCAAAGGGGTGCGGCTGCGTCTAACTGGCTCAGACAATTGCCGCAATGAAGCCAACGTCTTTTTAAGTGAGCCTCCGCCTCCAACTCCCTCCTCCCTCTGGCACGATATCCCCACTACACTCTTGTCTCTACAGCTCTCTAGTCATGTGTTGTGCTCCACAATAAAAGAGACTTTTTATGTACAAGTGCAGCTTATTACGCTCCGCTTTGCCTCGCTGAGCTTCATTGTGCCAGTGGCGATGATGGTGGGGGAGGTGGTGCGTCTGCTAGTTACTCGCCACATCAGTCACCGCTCACTTGACACATTTCGCCTGCCATGCAATTGGCACGAAGATGTTCCCGTCACATGCCCATAAAATCCGCGCCCAGCCAGCCGGCGAGGAGCCCAGGCAACAGCAGGCGACATCTAAATATATCCACAAGTTTTTCACACCAAATTGCCACAGCGCAGTGTTGGCAGCAAATTGAAATGTTTATTTCAAAAGTATTTGGCTCGCGCCCCTCTCCAGCAGCCGCTGCAGCCAGGTGAGCCACTGCGAGATCCCCTCTGCGCTGCCTAGTGCCCAGACACATAGATTGTCATAA